CGCCAATAATTCCACTTGGGCCGCCCACAATTCTACTTGGCCCGCTCATAATCCTACTTTGCTCGTCCATAGTTCTACTTGGCTCGCCCATAATTTCACTTGATTCGCCCATAACTTCATCTGGTCCCCTCCTGGATGGCCAAGTACTCAGTAGCGTTGGAAAATCCTCACTTCTCATTTGGAACTCAGGTTTCTCCGGCGATTGTCCCGATGATCTGCTCGGTTGCTCTTCCATTATCTAATTATGTCGGAATTCACTGCAAGTACTAAACTTTTCTACTTTCAGCATAAACAATGAATGATGATTATGTCCGAAACTTTGCGGTACAATCCAGATTTCTTCTAATCTTGCAAAAATCTCCCAGGTTGCATTGGAAATGACCTGAATCTCAAAAAAGTCATTTGATGTACAGCAACAATGATTGCAATTTTTCCTCAATGTATTCTAAAATATCCTGCTCACACGGCCCATTTCAGTCACAGGCTAACATCATTACACTACTCTCATCTACAGATTGCGGATTGACTGTGGTATTTCGAGAACAAAATGCAACAATGAAATTTTAATTATTACTGTGAGACTTCAAATAGATATATATATTACCGGTCTTGCCCTCCTAAAATCAAAAAGAAATAAGCCATAAAGCTACGGATTCTCGGGTTGAGACTAGAAATTACTGACTAACAACATTGACTGCATGCATCCCGATTTTGTAGATGAATTATCATGATTAATCTATTATGAAACGAACCATACTTACCTTTTATGATATATACGGTAGTAGTTGATAGTATATTACAGGGGAAATAACCAATGAAGAGGGTTAAAAAAACAAGATTCGTCGCTTTTTCAAAGCAACAATGGAGATGTGTTGGTATTACCTTGAGAAATTTTCCGCGAATTCTTTGCTAAACTTACCGCTTTTCTCGAGAAAATATCTACCTATAATGAAAGAGCAGAAAATACATGTACAATAAGCTTTTCCATTTCATTCAGAAGGAATTCCCGGCAAAAAATATTCAGAAAGCAGGGCCTTCTCCAATAATTATTTCTTTCGAATTTCCAAACAACATTGACTTACGATAATTGATCTTGAGATTGTATGGTAGTTCCTTTTATATCAATTCAAAATTTACGATATCTTGCCATTCCACACAATACACCCGGCGTTTTCCATTGTAGCTCAATACACTTATCGAAATTTTCATTTTGGAAGACAGTAATTTCATGACCGCTAGACAAAATACTGTCAACTTGGAAAGCGACAGATAGTAATGTCTCCCGCGCTAATCCTTTCGAAAGTATCAAATTTTAATCATAAGATAGAATAAATGAAGTGATTCGAATGTCACGCACTTGTAAAACTTAATGAATGATGATAGTCTCATCTCATCCTGTTTTGTAGGCTAACGCGAGTCATTCTCTCGACACCCACCCAACCGAAGCCAGTTGCACCAAAATTCGATCGCGAGAGAACTCAAGTAGTATTACACATTAGAATACAACCATTATTGAATTTATCAATTCATTGAAAGCATTATGGCATTTATTGATTCATTAAAGTACTCATGCAATTTAAATCCTTCATGCCAGATTATGCATCCTTCTTCCCTCAAAATAAAATGAACGGTTTGGAAATACTCAGTGAAAATGACCGAAAACAAAAACTAAACACTTCCCTTTACCTTATCGTAATTAAGCCTTACATCTTTCCTTCACTAACTTCTATGCAAAACAGCAAACCAAATGCGAAGTGTTTATTGCAGATAACAACGTAGCAAGAAAACATACAAAAAGGTTTCGGGATTCAAATGTAAAATTCTTCCTCTTTCTTCGATCAGTATGAGGGGACAAGTGCTGAATATGTATATGTGACTGCACGATTAATTCTATTTTAGGGGGGAGGGAGAGAGGGAGTTTCATTCAAGAGACTATAAAATTTTCTAAAATCTGAATAATCTGTATTTTTTTTTTACAAGAGATAACTAAGGGATGGAAATGGAACGCATGCGTGTAACGTCAACGGTTGGTTAACATTGGGAAGCATGGCAACTATGAACCATTTTGCGACGTGGCTGTAGAGGGTGATTGTGCAACTTGTGGCTGACCTGACTGCTGCAAAGACTGAGGCAATTTCGGTCGTTCTTCAAGCTCTTTATACTCCAATGTCATGTCTCTCGGTATCTAAAACAAAGAGATTAAGACTTTAAAGTATACCAAGAAACAAATGATCAATAATACGACTGACATAGAAGCTCCCTGAGATGAACCGATATTTTGCTTTAGAAAGATCAGAGGATTGAGGTCTCTGAATTAAATGGACAGTAAAGTAAAGTGGACACACAGAGTAGTCGTGGAAAGACTACAAACTAGACCTGGCAATACACTCACCACCTATGCATACTGCGAAGTCGTCTTTTGATTAATTGTTAGTAGACCTCAGTTGTACGGAATAATTTCGTTGCCAAGTAGAAATGGAAAATCAAACAAAATTTTCGAATTTATTTGTAGATTCAAATCAGCAAAGAAATTTAACTCGATAAAATAAAAAATGAACACAATCGGTAATATACCAATTCGGTCATACATCAATTATATTTATTTTTTATTTCGTCAGATTAAATTTCTTAACTAATTCCATCAAAGAAATTTCCAAGTATAAAGAAATCTCACTTTTCGCCACTGTACAGGATCGAAAACATTGTAGGACCCTTTTTCATACGTTGATGTCTGCTCCTTGACACCTCCATACTGCGATCGCGTTAGCCAAACACGCTGACCTTTATGAAACCGCCAATCCCTACTATACCTAAAAACAAAAGGTATAGAGATAACTAAGATGTAATAGTCCCAAAGTTTAGAGCAACAAAACCAAACCGATCAAACCTGCAAAAATTATCTAAACAAAGGGTGCAGGGATACACCGGACACTTACAACTTTGGGGAAGAGGTGATCACCAAAATCAAACAACGGCTTGAATATAGATTACCTATTAATGGCTTAATTCAGTGGAATAGGATAAAAACTGATAGCGAGGACCTATAAGCGGTCATACATGGTAGGCACTACATCACCATTACCGATGAGTTGTATTAATTACTTCTAGTTTAAACTTAAGACTTACAGCTCACTAGCAGCGGCGACCTGATAAACCTCGCCCGGACAATTATAAAAGAGGTAGAACAGCACATCCTCCGATAGCTTGCTCAATTTGATATTCGGCAGTTTATCTCGAATCGAAGCATTCGTTAAATATTCATCTGGTACCTAAAACGCCTTCTAGTTCATGGAAAATTGAAAGAAAAAAGAATATAATCGGGAAATCATACATAAAGTAAAGTTATAAATAAACTGGTATGCAACATGGAGACGCTAAAATCATAACTTTTTTGAATAAATAGTTACAAAAACTAGCCTTTGCCTCCAAATCCTGTATCCGACATGGATAATCTGCCCATGGTCCTCCAAACGTCGCATAAATGTTTCGCCTGGAACTAATGGGTGAATAATTTAATGTCGATATGAGAAACCACAAATGAGCCGAAACTAGATCTACTTCCTTAAAATTAAAAGATCTCAATTTTCAAATTATTCCAACACAAATAATCAAACTTCATCTTTACGTTGTGGAATCCAACCTCACTTCCCAATAAACCCAAATTAAGATTTTATATATATATTTTTACATATATTTTTACTTATATATTTTTACACTTATATATTTTTATATATTTTTACATATATTTTTACAGTTTCTTATATATTTTTACACTGCCTTGCAAAGGAGCAAATTCAAGGCGTTACAAACTGAACTCTTATGCCTGAAGAAACTTACTAGAAAGATATAAATATCAAACCGGCCCACTTCTAAGAAACAAAGATGTGGTTGATACACTGGTTCTAGGCAGTCCTAATATCAAATAAAAATCGTGAAAAATAATAATAAATTTATACAAAAATAAACATTATCAGTGACTAGAAGCAGCGAAAAACTTGAAACAAAGCTTACTCAGTGGAGTTCAGATTCAGGCCCAGAGTTGTCAAATCATGACCAAGAGCAAGTGCAACAATAGCAGGATCGCTTTCAATTGCACGCAAAAACGTCAACAGTCCTGCCATACCAAATTGGTCACTCAACATGCCTACTGGGATATTCTTCACTGTACCTGCAACTTCTTGGCGTGGTGGTGGAATATTTCAGAATTTTATATTTTAACATAATAGTATAAACAATTATAAACGCGCAAAACCTTTGCTATATTATCTTATGTAGACTACGTTTTTGACTGATTTTTTGGTCGTGACGTAACTCTACTCGCCTAGACTATCTCAGAGTCATTATTCTTCATTAATCATGTATATCCAAAGTGAAATAATGCTCTACGCATAATTTCTTTTTTGGCTGGTTCGCAGTGCTAGTTTTTCTCTTTTTTTAAAATTATGTTAGTGTGCTTCAAAACGGAAATCACTTAAAAACTAACCATCCGGAAATGTCTGAATACCTGTTTTCGTCTCAGTGTTCGACCTTTCGGAGTACTTTGTTTCTGAGGCAAGTGCATCGGCGTTGTTCGCCTGTAAATTATTGCATTTAATTTTCTCTTTAGAAGGAAAAGGGCGAATTAAATGCTGACGAAAAAATAAACGCATTATATATATATATATATATATAATTTTGTCGAAACCAGGATAGAAATATCAAAGACGTATAAACTAAATGGATTCACTATTTGTTTTGTGGAACGCCCAAAATCGATAAAAAAACTTGGAGATAATACGAAGCACATACAGTCCTTACATGAGTCTGCCTATTCTCCAGATGATTGGCACCAGGTAGTGCAGGGAAATCCTCGTTCTGGATACGGAACTCGACGTTCTGTGTCGGTAGCGAATTCCCATCACTTGTTCGCATCAAATTCGCTGCAAACGTCGTAATTCCCAAAATTAAAATCAAAGATTAAAATATTTCGTTGGACCAAATTATCAGGAAGATTTCTGATTTCGGAGTTATGTTTACTTGAAATCTTGAAGTTTCGAGGGTATTTTCTGCATGTTTTCTGAAGCTAAACCCAAATACCTTACGGTCCACCGCTTAATCATTATATTACACAGATTTTCTTGAAAACTGGCGAATCCCTCGAGTGAATTTTTCTCCCTCTCCCCCACTCGCATCAAAGCATCGATTTCCGAGTGTAAATGAACTAATTATTTCACTTAATTTTTGTCTGAGATCAGAATTCCGAGAAAATTCGGAAATCGAGATACAACTGCATAGAGCTTTGTCTCTCAAAATGAGCTGAACGTCGATGAGGAAAAAGCAGATATTGTTCGCGGGAAGAGAGAAATGATCGTTGTATGATACTTGATTTAGAAAAGAGTGTTAAACAGAGAAAAGAATTTATAAAGCGACATAAGAAGCCTTTTTATTAAGACACTTCGTGACGCTTCGTGTCACAGTTCAAGTCTAGTTTTTTTTAGTTCCAAGTTGTTTGTTTTCCTTTACAGACAAATCTTCAAATTGAACTCAAGTTCCACACCGAATTCCCCAACAATAGCGTATAGTCCTAACTTGAGTAAATTTTCAATTATTAGAAGGTACAATTAGGAGGTATTTGGAGATCCATTTTTTTTTTTTTTATTAAAAAACATACCCTTAGTCTATATACCACATAAACCACCATCAACTAGCAAAAAAGGTATCCCATATTATCATCATTATACAGGTAGCCATTTCACTATTGAATAACTACAAAAGTTTTAAGTAATTCTGTAGTCGAAAGATAGAGAACCTTCCTTTTTGAAAACAGTCCTTCAAAGTCAGTAAGGTTCTATAACTGAATAGAGAAGTCCTGAAAGACCAGTCTTCATCTTTTACTGCACACAGTGGCTACGACAATTATTTATCTATAAGTTTCCTGCATATCAGCTAACCTGACCCTAAAGCACTTCTTACAGGAAACGGAACTGACTACTTGGGTATTACTTATTTGTACTATTTATTTTGTATCTTATTTATTACAATCAGAATATTGCTATATCCAAATCTCTATGCATCTTCTGCCACCGAACACTACGCATCCGCACGACTTGACTGGTCCATACAAGTTTCACTTTTACACATTGATTATTGCCTCCTCCAGACAGAGAAGACTTCAGCATACACCACAGCACAATGAAATATGAGTACATGAGGCTTAATTTTATTGCCTTCCAATTAAAAGGATAGTTGACATGATTAAAGCTCGTAGAAAAATGAACCTTTTACTTCTCAAGTACTACTCTTTATAGTATTTATAGCATTATTTGGAATTATTTGGACATGAGTAAAAAAACTCCGATGTTATCAATATGGAATGGAAAATATAACTGTTTCTAGTAGCCTGTCTATCCCTGGTCATTGCATTGTTTTATGACTACTTCCGGAATAGTCAATTGAAGAGTTATATTAACAGTACTTTGCCATTCGTTAATGCCTTCATATTCTACCATTCATTAAAAACGTGAGACGCCGTTGCGTCCTATTTGTTGTATGTAATTTTCTGAATAAGACACTTACCGTAAGGGGCTCGTTGTAGAGCATTGTAGACGTCTTTTGAATAAAGATGATTCTGTGGTACAGGTGGTGAGGAGGAGTAATTACTGGTGGTCGGCAAGGAATTAAATGCAGAGGACGTTGAGGAGGGTGAGGAGCGTACTACTAGGGATGGGAATTCTGACTCGTTGATAACGTTTTCCGGAGGAATTAACGAATTACGACAAGCTGATGATGCTGAAGACTGCGATGAAAGTCGATTACGGTCAGCCAATACACCTCCACTACTGCTCATCGAGCTCGATCAATCGTATATTCATGCATGTGTATAGTATTATTCTGCAAGACATAACCATTATTCGCATTTGCTTACAACAAATAACGCTCATAATCTGCACGATGTTTAACAGTTATCTTTACCACTGGCTACAGCAACTCGTTTTTCAATAACTAATCACATACACTAATTACTTTCATCACTAGACGCTTATATGAAAGTTATTTGCACAATAAAAAAAAGTACAAAAACTGCGAATCACAGTCCATCTGTTGTGCACTTGGTTCTGCACAAATTTTTGCAAGATGATCGAATCCTTATAAATCTACATTCCATTTTAAACTATTGGGTAAATATATTTTAAACTGATACAAGAGCCAATGATACAAGGGAAATGCTGACAATCACATTTAGTGCAGTGCACATCGAGTAAGTTCGAATGAAATTTAAATTATCATTCACTTCGTCAATTTTTTGAGAAATCTTTTAGAATAATTTTTACCGAAAACCAATGTTTTTCGTAATCTTAGTTCAAATGCCTACATTACAAACATGAAGAGACTGTATACGCTGAGTAGCAGCGGTCAAAATGCTGATTGTTATGGAGAATGAGGTATAAGACAGTCCTTCACATCTCAGCCATCTATAAACTACTTTTGTCGATCATTTGTGACCAAAAGATATTCTCGTTTCAGAAACTGATCGACCATTTGTACTAGCTTCTTTCATTATTAGTTGGTTCCCTAAATTAATGCACTGCATAGAATATACTTTTAAGGAGTGTTGTGTATAGATCACTGACCGTCAAGCAATGTAAATAATCATGCTTCAAATACAGCAGTGACTTCGAAAATTCGAGTTTTTTACTTCGAAAAGCAAGACTTTTTTTTTCGAAAGCAAGATTAGCGGTGACAATTACTGACTGAAAGAAATAATAAGTTTGTCTTACAGTTTTCTGGAACATTTTCGTCTTGCTTTGTGTACCTACCTATAGTGACAACATAACAACCAACTGGAATCATATAACGGAAAAACGGAATTGTATAACCAACTCAATCTTGGCCCCTCGACAATAACACTTCTTATAGACTTCAAAGTCAGAATACAGCTCTACTTAAATTTGCAATAATTTAATCAACAAACAAATGTTAAATTTGCAAAGTAGTGTTGTAAAGTCTCTAAATCTATACTTTAGCAAGACAACATATCATAATCCAACTTCAACTGGATATTTCGGGAGAATATAACAAATCCAAAAGTTCAAGTAAGTGAACACGATATCCTTAAAAAACAAAACTTGTCATAGAAAACGTTTAAAAATACAGTCAGTGCTTCAACGAGTTGTCACCATCACAAAAAACATTACTATCAGCCATTGTTTCATAAATATTAAAGTCATGGCTTATAAATATTTCCTTTTAAAAAGATACGATGATTAAATAGGCAAACAAATACATAGGACGTGACAGTTTAAAACCATAATATCTTTAATAAAGCAATCTTCGAAATTTCGAAAGTAAATGATGAAATATCGAAAATGTTTTACACTGCAATGCTTTTTCTATTCTGTCAGATATCCGCCCTGGTATATGTAATTTCCCAATAACGAAGAAACTTTTCAAAGTAGCAAGGATACGACGTCAGTTTACATCAACACAAATACTCTCCTAACAAACGGTCATGAAGTGCTGCTAACTGAAGCATCCTGATAAGTAAGCTTTTCTACAAATGCTCCCTGGATTCTGGCTAGCACAGAAAAAAGAGAGTCGGTTCACGAAATACTAGGATTAATATCTTAATGATTTATACATCATTGTAGCTATGCAAAGTTTGACGCAGTATTCAGGCATTTTGCCAACACTTTCAACATACATAACATCAGGAGTGAAAAGGAAATGATGAATGAATAAGGGACGGGACTTCGGTCCTTATTCCAAGATAAAATTTAGATGATCGATAAAGTTTCTGAATTATTGGCAGATAATAATGGGTGGTATGCAAAAGCGATCATCGATACTACTTGGGCAGTGATGATGGAATAGAACTCTTCGTCTAACGAAAAATCTCTGAAATCAGTCAGTCTTTCCCCTAACCATATGCATCTCGTGCTGAGCAGTTCTTCTTGCGCTAATAAAGGAATGATGAGCGTTGCTGATCGTACGTTACGGCAACCTTGAAGAGATGCGTATCAGTGATGAGTGAAATGACTATGCAACCCTGACCACTGCTGCTCTGTGGCCCAAACTTCAACGTCGGCTAGTCATAAGGTGGCCAGGCCCAGCTAGGCCTTGACTAAACCCCGCAGCATCATAATATCCACTGCACTCCCCCAAATCCAGTTAACTAATAAAAAAGTCATTACGTCGACCATCATAACTCGTCCCCTTCAACGGCCCATCACAAATCGACCATTCTTTCGTCTCACTCCCTTCCATTCCTCTTCCCCTCTCAATATGCAATTGTTCCCCATCTCCCTTCTCTATCTTCCTCACATTATTATGCTATCTCTCCTCCGTCTGTTACTTGCAATATGCCTATGAGAGTGCATATTAGTAGCGTGGGCGAAAATGTCAGGGATCTTAGCAAACATGAACATCAATCTCACCGTAGCACTCATTCAAAAACGTCGAAAAATGCAGCTCTCTACCCGTCACCCCTCATCCATACAGTTTCTTGAATTCTGATGTTTAACTTCCTTTCTGTTAGTTCTATATTTATTCGAATTAGATTCAGACCTGTAATTGTTCTCTGTCTCTTCCAATTATATTCAAATTAGTTTATTTGCAAAGGTTTCGGATTTCTATCACATCAAAACACGAAGATTCATTTTCTGTTAAAAAAAACAAAACCATAATCTGATAAAATTTCGATGGAATGGTTTGATGACTGATCTTATGACGTCTTGTACATTCTTTATTAACCGCTACACGATCGAGTGAATAGTTCTGCTTACTTGTTTAATCGATGATTTCAGCGTCGCAAATATGGGATGAATTTGCGTGCAGTGTTGTGGTCACGCCTTACTTTGGGTGTTGTATCAGTTATATTCTTACTATTTTATACCGCTCAGTACAAAAAATATCGCTCAAACTATGCCTATTTATCTGACAAATGTTCGAAATTAATGGTGCATTCGGGTGGTTTGAGTGCTCAATTACAGTGTAAGTCCACTTTTCTTAAAATATATTTTTATCAACTAAAGAAAATCTTTAGTGTTCTTTTTTAATATTCTGTTCAAGCAAACACTCTCACGCTTTACTTTAGATGTTGTATATATCTTTTCTTGAAAGCTGCCCAGTGCTTTGTAAGGAATGAAATATTACATGTTCATTTTGTTTCAGATATCGCTGGCTGATTTAAAAACATGTTTAATTAATTAACTAGTCTCTGAATAATGAAGAATAAAGTTTGTAGATTGAGAGTTGGACAGCCCGAAACATCGGAAGCGTTGGTAGAAGACACACCGTCCACATCATAAATAGCTAGTAGATTGACAATGTTTTCAATTCCTTTGGAGTATGCGCACTTCTTTTCCTCCATCCCTTCATCTTGATTTCAAATACCATGAAGTTAAGCCAAAATCTGAATGGAATCAAGTGGATGTGTAGAGAAATTTTCAAATATTTTTTGCCTTTATTAAATCATGGCTGCGGTATAACATTGCAATAATTTTTACAAGTTTTTCCTATTGCTGCCGCTTTTTTACAGTGTTAATGGAGCGAAACCATCGAGCCGAAAAACTGTTGACTGATTTGCGCGTTAGATATAATCAAGTTATGATAGGTAAGCAATTGCTAATTTCGTGAAGTGTTCTGGGGGAAAGGTTCCGAAATGGTTGGTGCGATATAGTAATTAATACAAGTTAAGACATTGGATTACTTTGTAGAATTAAATTCCAGACTTCAGTCATTGATATTTGTAATTTTATTTGACGTCAAGCGCTCATTATTTTATAATTATGATTGTGGCATTACTTTCATTATGTTTTCGTTATTTATTTGATTTGACTTATACTTCTTAAATATGTTGCTATCTCACGAGTATGTTTGGTAAAAATTTCACAGAAAATATTGAAGCAAACTGAAAGAGCTGTGGCATATTATAGCATTTGTAAAAGGTGTCTTCATAATGCTGATAATATTTTATTTAGAAAACAGTGGAAAACGACATAATGTTCAAGCACAATGGTTAGCTTGCAAGGTAAGAATATTTGGATGATCTGTAGCAATTTATGATTTGGTATGGCATGAAATAGTTTTCTATTTGAAAAAGATAACTATACTTTCGTGGGTAAATAGCTAAGGGATAAATTGAAGTGAATAGTTCAGCGGCTGGCGTTGTGGACATCTTTTAGAGGATTGTTTGTATGCGTATTGTATTTTTGCTACTAGTAAGATCCGTATAGTAAAATTTTAGCACATCTAAATAAAACCTTATTTATTTGCAGTTAGCCCTCCGCTCGTATCATTAGTGTTGTCCATTATTTAATACAACACATCTTTATGACAAAGAAAACATGGGAGGCTTCTTGGCAGAGATGCGGTATAACAATTAGGTCTTCCTATTCAATCTACTGCGATTAAAATTTTGCAGCCTCAACCACTTTTTAAGTCTTAAAGAAAAACGTTTCAACAATGTTCTACCTTTGTCGCTTGCATACTATATTGAATTCGGGTTTCATGGGGGGTCAAGACGATGTGTTATTAAAGATTCTTGATGCTATCTGTTTGATCGCATGTTTGGCGTAGTTTACAAGTAGGAGTCCAGGAATCCTTATCGTGTAAATTTAATATTCTATTTTTCGAAACTTTTAGTTTTCTCTTTCTATATTTTATGCGAATATTTCAGGAAACGTTAAAAAAGTGTTTGGCTGGAGTAAAAACGGGTGAAAAACAATTCAGTAGTGGAAAAGGTAACTTATTCCACATTTTTCCAGTAGTTTTGAATAAAGGTTAGATGGCATATTTTCCCCCTTTCTCTCTCTAGTACTTTTTTTTAGCAACTGTCGTCTTTACCTCTTCACGGCAAAAGACAATAATAGATAAAGGTCTTTTATTGTCTCTTTTAGCATTAGAACTTTGATTATAAAAGTATACGCATTGCTTAAAAATGAAATTTCGGCAGTATATTCCCATCGGATTTTTTGAATAAAAGTGTGTAATTTTTATCCACTTTCAGATACCAATCTCCAAAGTCACTTTTTTCAGTGTCAGGTATATCGTTTATCGTTTTCTTACTTTTATGACTCGTCAAATTCTTTTTAAACAGCACAGTTCTATTGAAAAGGAAGGTAAGATTTAAACGCGATGCCGATATTATTTTAGTCACTTTCCGAAAATATTCATCATTGCCGATGATCTCTCATTTTCAGGCGGACCTGCAGGAATTCAAAAAGCAAACTGAAGAACTTAAAGAGGAAGCAAAGAATATTTCGGTATTTAGTTTATATTTCAACCTCCTTTTTACGAATAGTCAAATCAGAAATGATCTCACCGATGTAGTGGACACTTTATGGGATCAGTTCAATTAAAATTTTTTTAAAGTTGGAGAATCACGTCCTCAGTTGCATGCAAATCAGTAATTGGCACTTTTTTTTTGCAGACTATAAAAAGTGAATGTGAGAAGCTATTAATCAATTCGCAGGTGAGATTTATGAAAAATTTTGTTTAATTAAGAATTTTTCGCTTCTAAAATCAATAAATTTTTGCCCGAAGTCAACCAAGAAGTTGCTATTATCAAGACTCTGTAAGGAATTCAAATACTGCACTGGTTCAAGGCGCCTTTATCTCTTCTATAGTCTTCGGAAATTTAATTTTGAGCTTATATTATTTTGCAAAGAAAAGGACTAACACATTTGCTTACATTTAAGCTACTTGATCACAACCTGAAAATGAAGACCGTTCCTTCTCTCCTAAATTTCAAATCATGACCAGATTGAGAAAGAAAAGTGGTATGAATGAGACAAATTACGTCGTTCATTTCCTAATCCTCAGTTTAATCTGAAAGGTTCTAAAGCTTCAATTGAATCATTTGATTAACCACTGCAGACAATCTAGTAACTTATATTCCGCGGTGAGAATTTGTGTTTTTTTTTTTTACAAAATTTGCAACCTTTTTAACAGAAGTGAATAAAGCTTAAAAGTCTCGGTTCTAATTTTTATGTCAAGAATCTTCGTAGCGTTTTATCCATATGTTCAACTCTAAACATCTTAGTGGACAATATCATCAATTTACCATTACCGTTAATTTATATAAATTTTGACAAAAAAAGAAAAATAGAAACAGCAGCTGCACGAGAACTTTATATCTCTAGTCTCCTTTTTGGCATTTTTCTTTGGTAACCTTGTTTGGGATTGGATTTAAGATGGATATTCGTCCAACTTTTCATAGATGATACTAGGTGGGTGCTCTAATGTATGCATAGGTGAAAGCAGCTGCTCTTGTTGCTGCTGTTGAATAACTGTGTTTGTCCAAGCTCCTGGAAATTCATCAGGACTTCTATAAATAATTGTTGTTGGTGGCGGATGAATAGTTGCAGGCAATACAGATGGACTATTATGTAATATAGCCTTTTGTTCCATAATTTGCGCTGGTGGAGTAGCCCAACAAATGTTACCTGTTGGTCCACAGTTGTCCGGTAAATGGAACATTGTTGGGGGGTGAACCAAAAGCTGGAACAGAATTTTGTTAAAGGATGCTAGTAGCACTCAAAAGTGATAACATTATTTTCAGTTATTTTGTAATAACTTATATTGCAAAATGTTTATTGTCTTTCACAAAGTTCACAGCTATTTAAAAGATGAACGAAATTGAAGTTTTCAGACTTGATTTTTAAGATCAGAATTTTGTATAGTTTCTCTTGAATAATAAGTTGATATTTAACCAAGGACGATATTGGCAGATAGCCATTTATCCATCACTGTTATTTTATATAATTTTACAAATATCTATCAGGTTTATATAAGCTAAACAAGTTATTAACTTCTATGAACTTGAATTAGCAGTACCTGTTGTTGCGCCTGTCGTTGCATGTACTGTAAAAACCAAGGTTGTAAATTCAGCGTTTTGTCTTCCACGCCAGTGCATCTTGTACGTCGCATACGTCGCCTGCAAAAAAAGTTTTATTCTGTAACATAGTATATTTTGATAGGCGAAATACTTAATTTACCAGTCTTAGCTCGTAACACTTATAGCTACGAATTCTATGTTTCACGAAAATTATTTCACTGCTCTTGCCAACTGAAATCATTTGCGGCAATATGCTTGAGAAAGTATCAGATAGCTTAGAAAATGTAGCACGAAGGATGCAAAACGGTGTTTGCAAAGCTCTTATGGTCATCGAATGGTATTTTTGCATGAATCAGTTGTCTGAGCAAAAGTTAATCGACTTCACGCTGGCGCCTCTTTCATTCTTTTTCTCTGACAGCCTTTAAAATCACTTTTTTTTTAACATTTCACACATGTTCATCTTTTTATATTCAGTTGTTAAAGAAATAGAAAAGAAGGAAGGTAATACTTCGATTTCTCTACATTCTACTGATTTCGCAAAGTGTTATTTCAAGATGACTAAGATTATGCATCATTCATTATGTTGAGTAAACTGCGCAACTATCTTTTATTAGTTTGAAACAAGTGACTTAGGGAGATTAACTCCAGTCAGCATCTTTTCCTGCTGAAGATTTGGGAGCTATTGCTATATTTTATAGAGATTTTATTTCAGAGCATGTTCGAATTAGTATCATCTTCTATCGCAAACTGCAGTTTTGTCAGTGAATGTTCTTGAAACATATCTGATCATGATCATTTGTAGCAAGAAATACTTCCTTTGCTTTATCTTCCTTTGCTTTATGGTACAGATTGATAATATTTAAAAACTGTAACACTAGTCATACCTCCTCTTGAAATTCCCATTATCAAACATATTGACACTATCTGGTGATAACGTCCAGAAATTTCCCTTACGATCATTTGCCGGTCCAACACCATCTCGTGCCTTCTTGATAAAACAGTCGTTTAGAGACAGGTTATGTCTGATGCTGTTCTGCCATCCTTGACGCCTTTTCGGATCACAGTTACGGTAGTATGGAAAACGAGCATCAATATACTGTAAGAGAAAACAAATGATGGGAGACGTTTTTTTTCACCCAGGTTGATTCATGCCGGACTTCTCTACTACCTTTTTGCTTTTTTTTTATGACATGGTGAATAGTTTTTCATCATGGGAAAGAGATAAAGTTTCAATAGGTATAGTCATTCCGTTCTTGAAACCTAATATTTATATCCTGATAAACGAGTTCTACTTTCGAAGTCCTAAAAAGATAAGGGAATTACGGAGAGATTAAGAGGTATCTATGAGAATTTCGCATTTACTTATTTTCGTCCTTATAATACAAGATAAATGTATTGCTAAAATTTTGTAATTTAGTAGGTTGGATCAACCATATTCAAATTTGAAAATAATCCGACAAGAAAAATTGAAACTAGTACGTGATAGATTTGTGAAAGAGTCATTCGCCGTTCGGGCGAATCGCTTATTGCCATTGTAATCAGTGCAACGTATGAATAAGGTGGTTTCTCACCTTCATTTCCTTCTTCTCTGAAATTATAATTTATTTTGATATCTTTGATTGAGGTAACTTAAATTCAAAAAACTTCAGTTATCGTTATTGTTTTGAATGAAGCAGATTTGGAATGTGTGAAATGATGTTGGATACATTAAAAATTCATACCATCTCTTTATTTAATGATTAAATGATGGTCTGTTAAAAATCTTTACGAACTGAGTCTATAATTTAAAAGTTCAGATTTTCCTAAAATAGTTTTCTTTCTCCAGTAATTTAGGCAAATGTTAATTTCAATTGCCTAGGGAATGTAAATAAAATTTAAGCAGGTGGTATAAGCCTTCTGTATGTAACAATAAGTGATCAGACTTTACTTAACTGTCTTATTGCTGAGAAAGTATTTCAGAAAAGTTATGTGAGAAAATGTGTATGGAGTTAGTAATAAGTAGAGAAATGATTACCGAGAATTGTAGGAGAAATCTAAAGGATTATTTCTTTTGCATAAGTAGATTTGAAATAGATATAGCATGTATTGAGGTCATTGGCCTAAATGTCTTTGGCAACTGTGAAAAGGATGTGGAATTAGTCTAAGTTGAATTTAAAGCGAATTGAATTGGTATTAATTTAGGAAATGAAGTCAAATGCTTGGCTTATCAGTTTTATTACATCAAAGAAAGAAGAGAGACTAATCAATGACATTTCACAATATTATGAGACAACAAAAAATAAAGAAAGCTGAGCTCCGTAATATAAACATTTGTTTTTTCGGAATTAAAATATTGCTTTACATTAGACAGATGTCCGTTGAGCCCACTTATTAATGTCTCTTTTCTTGCTTTCTATTTTTATACATAACTTCCTTATTTTTCCGCGAAAAGAACCTGGGGAAATCGAAAAGTAATATTTATGATAATGATACGGATTTCATTTTAAAATTTGGTCAAACGAAGGGAAAAGTTGCCATGATAGTTGACTTCTTGTGAACTTAAAGCTAGAAGTATCGTCCCTTAAAACGTTTCCAATTCTTGAAGTTCGAAAAAGTCTTGGAAAAAAGGAGAACTTACACAATAGTTCGGTTGGACATTAGCGAGTTCGGTGCTTTGCTGATGTAATGCTTGCTACTGTAGAAGAAGAAAGGGAGGATGAAAAAGATGATGACGGTTGTGAAGCTTTTTGCTTAAAGGAAGCAAAATACAAGTATAGGCCTGCCACCTCGGCATGCTTTTTCCTCTTACTCCTTTCATACATACACTCAATCACTAGAGCCCATCCATGAAAAAACAGTTCATCTCCGTTTTTTCTTCACACTTTTTGTTTCTATTTTTATTGCCCCTTTCTCTTACTCTTCAGTTCTTCATTTTTTCTATAGACGTTTTTCTGTTACAGTATGTTTTTTTACCGATGTCTTAAATTCAGCAGCCCAGCTAGGGATTAGAGGAACGATTCAATGACTTCAGGATAGTATGAGTCTTCCGGAAGTCTGTGTATCGTTGTATTGAACATATAATCGTGTTTGTGCCGTCTTCACAAATAACTATTAGTAAACTGTAATCCATGACATAGTGATTGTTTAGAATTAACGTTTGACTAAATTTGTTGAAGGATAATTTGTGAATCCGGATTAGTTATTCAAAAATTCAGTCTATCCTTCTTCTTAAGCCTATTTTTTGTAGTTAACTCAATCACCAAAACCAAATTATGTTCAAAATGGAAAAGTGCATTTTAAACGTTTGGAACATTTGAATGAAGAGCTTGAATTTCGACGCAATCCAATTCCACCTCAGTTACCGACTCTTTTATCCAAAAAGGAGTTGCTTTCAAGACTGTCTAAACGAAATGAACATAAGAAACAAATTCCCGGTACGTCATATGCTAGTGTAACATAAAACTGTTTTTTCTTTTGAAATGATTATAAATTATGTATTGCTTCCAGTTGAACAGTGTTCTATTATTTAAATGTGTCTAGCTGTTTATTTATTTATTTTAATTTTTTTTATTACAGCAGAAACCGAGCATAAGATTCAGGTCGGACGACATATTACCAAATTTCTAAGTGTTACAACCTTCTATGCAAATGATTTCTGATTTAAATAAAAGTTTCATTCTGTTGGCTTTTTGATAGTATTGGTAGACAAAGGCTGGTATTCTTGTGTTAAAAATCATAGCCTGCGTATTTGAGACAAATCTGATTTTCAACAATGTAATATTTCTGGCATTTGTTTTATTTAATGTGATCCATTTAAATTTTAGATAATGTTGCTGAAATAATTGATATCCCAGAACACGAATACAAGGATTATAAAGATGCGGCAAGCTATCTTTTTTTAAATTTCACTCTTCGGCGCTTTAATGTTTAGCTGATTAATTTAGTGTGTATCATCAAATAACCCAAGAGTTCATACCATTTTTTGTCTTGCTACTTCACCTTTAGTCTTAGGTTCATACTTCACCGTTAGTGGCAATAAGTAAAAAATTTGAAGTCAAGACTGAATTCATCATACTTAGACTTATCTGTTTCAGCGATGATGAAGGAATCGATCGGAAACCTTTTGCAGTATTCTACATAATTTAAAACATACTTTTTATTCTCTTTTCTGGATCTATCTAATTATGACATGAAATTCTAGAGTACTTCTAAGTCTGAATTCACATTTTCTCAACTGTTCATATTCATTTAGTTCTTTGATCCCTAAACTATTAATTCTTATCTGAAGACCCTATGATTTCTGTAGAACTTGGTGCTACGGCATCTTTTATTTTGCTCTGTTGAAGAAAGTTTCCGGAATATTTCCTGTTGTATTTGCTCAAGTACATTTATGACCAAAGTGATTTGGTCTGTATTTCTAATATGAGAATTCGTCTGCAGAAATGATTTTTTAATGAAGGAAATTGAGTTGTGAGATGGAGTAGAGTAAAATAAAAGGCAAAAGATAAAAAGTTCTAGTAGATATTATAAAATGGTTTTTGGAAATTTAACTTTGGATTTTTCATTGTTCTCTTGTATGCTTATTAATTTGGCGTGTTACTCCGGTTTTGTTTAAATTCTGATCATATTTATTTTTTAGCGTGAGTCAAATATTGCTTTTAGTTTTAAATATTTTCTTTTACTTTTTACTGTATATAATGTTGTGTTTTTTCATTCATGGATGTACATTTTATTGCTGCAGAAGTATTTTCATTCGTTTGTTTTTATTAAATCTCATTGCTTTACCTGCTTATTATTCACTTCCATTTGTTTATTCGGTTATGATTTTACCTTTTTTCTTGTAATTTGTAGCATTTTGATTATCATTAAGTTGAATATATACGTGAAGTGAAAAATGAAGTAACCTTTGGTGCTTGGGGGAAAGTTTTGTGAAACTGAAAAGGTTGGAAACGAATAATATAAACATGCCGTTTAAAGCTAGGAATTTAAACATTTTGGCAAATGATACTTTGAGCAGAAGTATTTCTTATTTTGTTATGATAACAAGCTCTGATGAAACAGTTGATTTTTTGAAAAGAACATGCGAATCCCCGAAAAAAATATGACATTGTATATGATTAATTGTTGCAAAGTAAATTGTACCTGTTCCTCAATAGCTGGTAATTCTCTAGCAGAATATTCTTTTTTATATGATGACCTCAATTCTGAATGGTTTGTGTCCGAAATAGGACTCTTCATTCCAAAAATATAATAATTTGAGGATATTTACGAAATAGACACACTTGATGTTGTTTCAAAAGAGAATGAATTTCTTTGCAATCTGCGAAGGTACTGTTAAATTGGTGGACATGAAGGTCGTTGACAAATCCCATGTAATTTCAGCAATAACTTGATGTTACAATGAAATGTAACAGACAACTGAAAATGAAATTTTCAGTTGTAAGGCGATGTTGTTAATCGCTATTTAATTTGATTTATTTGTTAGGATGGATAATAAGTTGCGTTAAGGTAAATACAATGAATGATATTGCAGTAAAGATATGGGAGAATCTATTGTCTTTAAAAACTAAAGCTGGAAGAGATTCTATAGTTTCGAGTTAATGCAAAACTCATAACATGTGTAAACATCGCTTCATCCCAATGTTGTATGAACGAGGAAGCGGAATAGAAGAGTTACTGAGAATGAGAGTGCTGATGGTAAGGCCAATTATAAATCTGATTTCTTCCAATTCAATAAAGTTATCATTGCCTATCTTCATTCCGATACGTATATTTACACATATGCTTTGCGTTTTTTATGGTTTACTTATTATTAGACTATACCTGGTCAATGTCAAGTAAGAATACATTCGTTTGAAGACCACCATCAAGATCACCATCGTATTCGACGTGTGGCATTATAATAGGGAAAAGAGAGCAACCAAATTCATCAATAATTGGTACCGGGAAGGAATAAGGTCGAGAATTTGAAATCGTACAATTATTCACTAAAATACAGTATAGTCCACTTTGTTGTTGCTTGTAATTACATGTCCAGTGATGATAGACCGGTTCACCAATTCCAACTTCCCTGTAATTTTGGTCATTTTTTCACTTCCCCAAATGTTTACCTATTTTTGTTCTCATTACATGCTATAATCACTTTTTTTTCTTTTGCTTGCTTTCATCACTGTGGTCACGCACATCAAATTAGATGCTAAACGACACTCTACAATCAGAAAAGAAGATTATGCCTAAGGTTAATTAAATCTTTCAAACGTAATTCTTCAAATTCGATCCAGAGATTTTAATTGAACAAAAATTTGGAACTGATTTTAATTTAATTTTTGATTAAATCAGAAGTCAGCGAACTGGAACACATTGCATTTTACCGATTAAATTAAAACTGATTAAAGAAAATTAATGTTATCAAATTCAATGTAATGAGTAATGAACAATATTAAAAATTGATGTTGTCAAGTTCAATGTAATGGTAACGTAGACCCTTATCTGGCAATTAATATCAGTGATTTATAAATAAAATACTTTTCCAACCTGAAAACTGGTATGGAACAAAATGGAAAATATTTTCAAATTAATTTTTAATAATTTGGGATAAAAATAAATGGTTAAATTCGAGGATGAGAGCTTAATAAAATGCATGATTGGAATATAAGTACAATGTAACTGCAGCTACCTCGTCAATTCCGAACCATTTCGGTTGTATAACCGTATATGATATTTGCAGTTTGGTTCTGGAAATTCACTGACTGAAAGATTGATGACGTTATCGTCGGCAATATTGTAATCATCCAGTCTACTCACCGGCATTACGGATGTTATGCAAGAAAACAGTAACATTTGGGATGATATTCGGATCGAAATAACCGTATTTAAAGCTTTTATTGTTGTTGCTGATGATCTGAAAAGTTCCAGACACATTTCCGGTTTATTTCCAAATCTCTTAAATGTTGATACAGCCGAAGTTGCTTCTTCCGGAAGCCGATTATTTTCTCCTTGTGCTTTTTTGAAATGCTGAAAAAAAAATCATTTTGTGCTAAATAAATAAACACATCTACTAAACCTTATTCATTGATATGACAGCAATAAAACCCAACGAGGATAAAGGTGACACTGTTTACAGTGATACTAATGACAATGACATCGAACTGTTATGTCACCCTTCTTCATCTCCCCACAACTCCGCACACCATAATTTCATCTACCCGTCGTAACTTCAACAAATACTGCTCTCCTTTAACACGAGGGTATTCGTTGAAAAATTTCATCTCCCATTTTATCGAATTATTCTTTTTTTCTTTTTCAATTTCACATTTACCTTTCACCTTGGAAAATTACAACAAAGTATTTCAGTCTTTTCTTCACCTAATACAAACCTGGTCTTACATTCATTTCCCATTTTTTTGCTATCAAATATTTCTGAACTCTAAAAGTATCAGACGTTTTTCTACGTAACAGTCTTATTCAACACGTTTCTCTTCATGTCAACTGTTGTGAAATTCAAAACAAGCATTGCGATATGGCGATGAAATTGAAGTTATCGATTCATTCATAATTTTTCTCACAAATTCAAAATTTTAGAAAAAAGAGCGCCATTAGTACAATTACAAGTACTTATCATTGACAAGTTTAATTTTCAAAGGTGGTAAGAATGGATTAATTAAAATTTATTTTCAGCGATTTAATTAAATTTAGCAGCATATTTTACTATTTCAAATGTTTTCGTCTAGTCTAGTACACAAAAAAGGATTTTATGTTTCAATGATTAAAAAAGTCTCTACTACAAGTGTTATTAAAATTAGCGTTTAATGATGTTACCAAAGAGCATGGAAGTGGAACTGAGTAATGCTTTAGTGAATAATTTAATGAAAATTAAAGAGTTAATTTAAATAATAGATTGATTAAAAACATTGCCACCGAACATATCCAAACTATTGATGATAATGAATAGTATAGAAAAGTGAGAATAACATCAATGGAATATGAATGTGGTGAGAAGGAACTATTTAGAAGAGACTAATTCTATTGATAACAGCAAATCATCTGTCCACTTTCTAATTGCATTTGTATTCACTGTACTAAAAATGACTTTTAAAATTGATAATTTGCAAAGTTTTTAATTTTCAAAATTTGAGAATAGCTTACTTTTAATCATTTTATTAATTATTTATTATCATTTTATTATTTTCCCAACGAGAAATGAAGTTATTTTTAAATTTCTTTGCAATCATTCCAAACTCTCCGTAAATTATCAAGAAGTAATTTTACAATTTGCAACAAATTATTCACTATTTTTTGCCTAAGTTCATTTTTCTATTCAAGCATTACTCAGAATAGAAAGTTGAAATGTAATTCTGTCCGAGGAACAAAAATGGTATGAAATAAAACAGGAGAATAGCGCTCTTGTTGTACCGCTATTCTCGATAATGGATCGTAACCTGAAGTAGTCATTTTTGAATTGTATTTCATTTTGTCCGCTTCGATAAGAGAATATAAGCATTTGCATTCCCGAGTCAGTGGAATCCCGACTTCCTTTCACTACCATTCAGTATATCAACTTGTAACTCAAAATTGAATGGATTTTGAAAATGATAATGCCTAACGGAATTGATATTTCTATTAGTGAATTTTGTTTTCTTAACGATTTTTCTTACTTGAAGTTTGAGAATAAATTAATTAAAAACGAACGACAGCAGTCGTGTCGCCTTACCTTCTTTCGGAAGTTACTTACGCTTATTAAATGAGTAAATCAGTCAATTTTAGCTGTAACTTGTTAACTTCTCTGATAATTAGCCTGTTTATCACAGCCTAGCATTAATATTTTTAGTTACCATGGAAATAGCCATAGCTATTTGGAAATTTTCACCGCAACTTGTTTAAGATAGTGCCCAATATGCATAAATTACTGAAAATTCCTCCAGTTTTCCATAGTCTTAATTAAGTTTCCTTCATTATGTTACGTGAAATTACTATTATCATAAACTGCAAGCTATCGGGATGATACGACACTGAGCATCGTAGGTCTCTTTAAAAGAATGAAGTCGGGTCAATAAATTATTGGATTCTGTGACGCTAAATACTTGTGCTAAAATATCACAGTCAAGCTAAAATATCATAGTCATCATAGTCAAGTTGAAAGTCGTTTGTCAAAATTAGGAGGTCATAGGTCACGTATCATCTAGTCGGTCTTGTGTAGCGAGAACTGCTAGGAATTTAACTGCAGTTACAACATTTATTCTATAATATAAATTGATGAAAATTTGGTCTCTACTGATTGAAAATAGTTGACTGTATGGTAAGTAATATAGGGGAAGAAAAATCTAGAAATAAACCGTTAGATATATAGCAAATAACAATTTGCAACAACAAATTAACATTAGACTAGACTATGTAGAAAATTCGAAGTGGAAACATATGGAGGCATTTGTGACAACATGTTATCAAATGCATTAAACAATTCGAATTATGAATGGAAAATAGCCAAAATTCTGATAACTTCCAATAATTCCTTGGATATTTA